GCGTTTTCCTCGGCGATTCTTCGACATTCTGCTCTAATTTTTGCTATATCCTATATATTTGTACTAAAAACTTCTGGAGATTTCTGCTCAACGAGACTTTTGACATGTATGGTTTCAATCGACTCAAAAGATGGAGTACATTGCTTCACAATTCGCTTCAGTTTTCATATGTGTAATCTGTAGTTTCGTGGACTTGAGATGCTTAAGGAATGATATATCTTAGTCAGAATTTTGCCCAAGTATGGGGCAATTGCCTTTCCATTTCTACAATCCGGCAAATGTTGTTGCAGGGATTTTCTTTTAATTAAGTTGTTCTAGGCGGTGCCTCATTTTGGATGACATATAATGCATTAAGTTTCATGTCGGAATAAGATTAGGTATTTGTTATGTACCTGGAGATCGGTATGGCTTGGTCCTTGGTCCTGTCCCGAAAGTGCAAGGTCATCCACGTGGATTCTTAGGGCAAGGAGGTTAGATGAATGAAGTTGGATCGGGGATTGGCTCTTGGGCCCCTGTTGCGTCTACGGTGCCAAGTTGAGGGGGGACTTGAGTTGTGCCTCTTACGCCACGTTCCTACATGACAGGTCGACGTCGGTAGTGGGATTCCTGACTCGACTCCTCCGATGATTAAGTCAGTAAGTGGTCTTTGTGGTGAAAAGAGTTCGATCCCCATGCTTGGGTCGCTAACATTGAAGATGTTGATGTAGGATGAGTAACAATGTTATTGATAATAGAGGAATAAAAAAGAAAAAGAATAGATAAATAGTAGCCGAAAAATATTGAAAAAAGAAAGAGATAACTATCAAGATGAAGGCCTTGCACCTCCGATACGTGGGCGATTGAATCATATCATCGAAAACATAATTGTGACATCGCATCACTCACACACAAGTTCGAACAAAAATAAGATTCATTGATTCATCTCTATTTCATGCATTATAATATTCTAACCCCTTTTTATAGGCTCATGCACAATATTAAAAAGGAAATCATAGTATAATAAAAATTACAATTGCATCAACTTAAATATATGATCTATTGCTTTCTACGAAGAAGATAATATTCTTGACTTGATTTGAAGGATAACCTTCCTTTGTTTGACGATATTTTGATTGATAGACTTCCATATTTGATAGTAGAGATAAATCTTTAAAATTTTCCATCAAAATTTATAATCCTCGATCAATAATAAATTTTATTTCTTCCACTCTTTTTGGCATTTGTTTCCCTTTTCTTTGCCTTGAGTAGATGTTGTCATATGATAATTTATGACATGTGCAAAATAACATATAAACTAATAAAATTTATTCAAGTAACATATAAACTAAATTGCTCCTTATCAGATGCTCTATTAGACTAGGTTACAGATGCAGTAGTTATCTTGTTAATTTTTTAAGTAGCAAAGTTTAGTTCATTGTATAAACTCAGAAAGCAGTTTTAGGGCAGAAGTATGACAATTTTTATCCATGGTCTCCTATCCAACTTCACATCTAAACCCACAATGAAATTAGTTGCTGTTCTGAGTGCTGAAAAATCTCTAAACCCTGATTTTTATCTTCAGACTTGTTTCTCATTTTAGTAATTTTCATTTTTGCTTCCATGACCAAGTAGATATATGTTACTGGAACAACAAAAATTTGTTAATTGTATTTGCAACTACTTGGGTATTTTCTAGTGAATTCTCTAGTGATGCGTTTATAAAAAAAAAATATTGCAATTAATTAATATTGCTTTTAGTATTCTCTCCTTGCTTAATGAAATCAAGCTCCTAATTTTTCTTTGAATGATCAAATAATCCAAAAGTTTTTGGCACTAATAATGTGCTTCTTTCTCTAAATCAACAAACAATATATGTAATTAGTTAGATCTCACAGTGCCAAATGAAATTGCTTCTCATAAAAAGCTAACTTCACTTGATGAGGTAGCAAAGCAGCAGGACCTAAGTGGGTCTTTCCAGAGTCAGAGAACAGATTGAAGAAGCAATTATCTGTGCAAAATGCATAAAATTAAGTGGACATGGCATTTTCGCTCCTCTTGAAGTTCCACCTAGGCTGTGAGAAGCATGGAATTTAAATATGAATTGACAAGGACATCAGAAAAACCACTCTGAGAAACTCACAAACAAAGGGAGTTTTTATTTGTTCTAAATATATGTACACTGTCTTTTACGTTGCCATGCACAATGCTTATGTATCTTTTGGTGTTAGCTCTGCAAAAGATGTCTTATTCTAGCTTGCTATTTTTTATCCCGACAACTTATTTTTAATATCTAATTTAGCAAAGTTTTGGTAGATATTGGACTTATCTTGGTCTGTAAGACTATTTGAATGAGGTTCCTTTTAACTTCAGCTACATGCTGAAAATGTATTTGGCTCGTTCATTTGTTATGGCAAGGAGACTTGCATGGGACTCATATTCATGTTGTCAACACAGAGAGTTGGATATGGTCATATATAAGAGAGCCAAGTTTAGGCGAAATTTTTATCATCTCAACTCTTGGATTATAGATATTTGGGTTTGTTGATATACAGTTTCTAGATTTGTTTTTGTGCGAATAACATTAATATTTTTGATCTCATGGTGGATGAGATGACATAAATTTGTATTAATCAGGATATCATTACAAGTATTTTTGGCTGAAAATTCAAACTCAGGACCTTTTGCTCTAATGCCATCTTAAAATTTTATCGATGTCCATAGATGATATATGATCTTAATTTATATTCTTAACAATATATCCAACTTCGTGTATGTAGATTGGATATATATCTTTGTGCTCTTAGTTCTAATTTTGACGTCCCATCTATCATCATGCTGAATACATTTTTTATGCTCAACTAGTGTTGCATCCTTGTTTAGAACTGTGTTTGATTACATGAATCTCTTCTATTGATAGCTAGAAGCACGATTGATTCCGCTTCAGTAGCTTGTCATTTTAATGATTGAATAACAGTTCCATTGTGCTTGAGTCAATTTCTGCAACTACTTTATGATCCTAAGTTTTTTTTCTTTTTCTCTAGAGCTCTGCATGTGTTTAAAATGGCGAAGAATTACAGGTGAAAACAGCTGAGAAAATTCGTACCCATTAAGTGGGAAAAATGAGTGGCAATGACATCATCAACACAACAAGGCTCCGTGGAGAGAAACACTTGGTATGGCAAAGCTAAAACAGATTATTGCAGTTTGTCTTCTCTGACATGTTACCCTCTTTTCTAATGGTGGCCTCCATGCTTGGGTTCGAAGTTCCTTACCTTGACTGTTTTAGGAGAGCTTTATGCTGTTGATGATAAGTGGTTTGGATATTATAATCAACCTTTGATGATTAGTGGCTTGGAATAATCTTCATTTCATGTATTGACTTGGTTTGGATCATGATTCCTATGGCATGCATGATGATCAAGGTGAAAGTATTAGAAAAAGAAATGGGCATTCTCTAATATGATCACTAAATTTTAAATGTAGGTAAATTTTGTTGTTGATATATTTCAAAGATAGTCTTCTAATTAGTTTGATTCAGACAATTTAACCTCATGGAATCAAGAGCAGAAACTCCAAACAAAAATCTAATCTTAGCTTGGATGAGAATGAAAAGAGATGGCAAGAGTCAATTAAAGTTTGAGTGGATATGGTTAAAAGGGGTATGAGTTATAGTTAGTAATTCAGTTAAATTTCTCAAAAGCAGCATTATATATGAAACACTTCAGATATATTCTGAGCACAGCAATGCTAACTCTGAGCACTAAACAAGAGATTCTAATTGAAAGTAGCATGGCTGCTAAAAATTATGTTGATCTTAAAAACAAGCACAACATTTTTTGTCAATTCTACCGTCAAGAAAAGTAATTACAATCTTGAAAGTAGTGTAGTAAAATCAACAGCAAATTAATTACTATCTGTCATGTGGTAAAATAGGCATGCAAAGATTAGCAAATAGCATAATATGTTCAGATATGTCAATAAGTTACTTATTGTATTTGGAATTCTAATGTCTCAAATTAATAATGTTGTTTCACACACTACTTGAGATTGCTAGTATCAAGAGGGCTTAACAATAAAATCAGTCTTTACTTTTTTTTTTTTTTTTTGGGTGCATATAGAGAGTAGTGATCCCCACAAATCAAATATGGTTGCTTTGCAAGTTGAACAATCAAAGAGTACAACAGCAAAATCACATCCTTAAGAATAAGTTTAACGACTCCTAAAAAGGATATTTTTATTGCACAATTTAAGGAGATTTTTATGAAAATTTTACTACTGTTCATTATGGTCTGCTCAGGAATAGCCCTCAATTATAAACAACTCCTAATGTTCTTTAGCCATGATGTTGCAAGTGACACAAATGAGTTAAATCATTTCCTTACAGCTTCCCTCTTGATACATGAATCCAAGAATCGTTTATATTAGTAAAGGAAGCAAGATTTAGGATAAGTATTACTTGATGATTTATTTGGCATAAACAAGCAAGGAATTAGGGATCTGATAGAGAATATACATGTAATGTTGCGTCAGGATATATATATATATATATATGATTGACTCAAGATTGTGTGAAATTATATGATAATTATAAAAGAAAATATAACTTGAATAAATATATGCTATCAACAAGGTTTTTCAAATATTTCAGCAACTCAGCTCAGATTTTTCCCAAATATCTCAGAAATATCCGGTAATTTTCCACTAGAGAACGAGTCAAGTATAACCACCCCACCATATATTGCTGCTAATTAGTAGGTGAAGTAACTTAGACCTGACCGTTACTCATCCACAAGAAACAGAAACATCGTCTTCCCTATCTCCTAAAACTTCCCAAAACAAAAAACAAAAAAGCCCCCAAGTAAGAAAGTCAGCGTTCGCTGTGGGGCTTATACAGAAGAATAATGCTGTGGTGGAGTTACAGTGTAGAAGCCCCCGCCTTCCCTTTCCGATGATGCCTTGTTTCCCAGTCGTATATATAAAGCCGCTATAAAACCCCTCGGTGTGTATCCCCCCTACCCCTTTGTGTTCTCCTACTCTGCTTTGTGCTCTGCAGATCCTAATGCAATACCCCGACCCTTCCCATCTCCTTCCTCCCGATCCCCTTGCCGTCCCCGATTTCCTCTTTCGCCTTCCCCATCCCCTTTCTTGATCGATTCTGATAGGTTTCTGGGCTCTTCGGAGGAGGAGATGCTGGAGGAGGAGGAGGAGGGCGGCAAAGAAGCCATGAGGATGGGGAAGCAAGAAGAGAGGGAGATGGAGATGCTGTTGAACGAGATCCCCCGTGCTACATCCCCTCGTCTTTATCATCAGCATCCTTGTCGTCGTCGCCATCATCGTCTGTTCCATAGCGATGCTTGTGGCGGCGATGGTGACATGCACGCTACCCATGGTTTGTACCTTGCCGGCCTCGACGAGTTATCATCGCCTTTCCATGGGCTTCGTGATGTCCATGGCTATGGGTGTTTGTGCGGTGGCAGCCCTGCATGCCTCCCGCCCCTGCCGCCCCCTCCCTCGGAGGGGTCATCGTCGTCGTCGGAGTCGGGATTGCTCTCCGGCAGGCTCTCCCGGGTCGTCGATGAAGTCGTTCGACAGCGCACGCCCACTGATTCGCAGGACCGGATGTTCCTGGAATTTGGCTTGCTCGACAAGCTTAACAATGTCCACCTCGGAGTCGATCCAAAATTACCAATTGGTCATCGACCGATGTCGGCGTCGATGGAACAGAACATCTCAACCAACCCTTCTCTGTTCCAGAATGATTATGGCGATGATGTACCGATGGAAAGCTTTGTTCAGCGTGGTTATGGTGCTTGCTGCCATTCCCTTCTTCCAAACTCTCTGATGTTTAATGTAGATAAGAAACCATACTTGTCTCAGTTGCAGCAGCATTGCCCTGTAGATGCAGATTTAGTTGACCCATATTTTGAGAATTTCCCTTATGGAGCAACCGAATTGGTTGCCGGTGGTACTCTGGGAAGAAATTCTCACTATAAGGGAAATTTTGGTGGAGGTTTTGCTTCCCCTATTAATCGTCCTTGCCCATTTTCTGATGTCTACTTCTCGTCGGAGAAGATTAGAGTAGATTCCAACTGGGATGCCTCAAAGTTACATCACAGCTATCAGGTGTTGAATAGACCAATGAAGTCGCCCCCTGTTAATGTAGGACCTCAGTCGGTGAGGCTCCCTAGGAACATGGAGGCATTTGGATCTGATGACAGTTTAGTTATACAGGGGAAGGGCCTCCATTACGTGAGGAACCAATGGACTGATAACCTGAAGGGGACTAAAAGATCACAGTTTGATGGACAGTTGCATGCACAAAGTATGCTTCTGACTCTTCCACTGAAGTATGATAATCTGATGGGCGTCAAAGGATGTACATACTATATTGCAAAGGATCAACACGGGTGTCGATCCTTGCAGCGGAAGCTTGATGAAGGGAAGCATCAGATTGATATGATTTTTAATGGTGTCATTGATCATGTTGTAGAACTTATGGTCGATCCCTTTGGGAATTATCTCATGCAGAAGCTACTGGAAGTATGCAGTGAAGAACAACTGCTGCAGATTCTCCTCTTGTTGAAGGAAGATCCAGCTGATCTTGTTAATATCTCCCTAAACATTCATGGGTAATTACAGCTTGCTCATCGCCTACCAATATTAATTTATTTCATTTTGGATCTTTCATTAGCATGCATGGTTTCTAGCAGTAAGTTGTTCTGCTAATGTTTAAATGTTTGAATCCTTACTTTCTAATAACATTATTTGAATTCATTTCTCAGGACAAGGGCTGTGCAGAAATTGATAGGTAGCCTTAAAACTAGGCAGCAAATTGCACTGGTCATATCAGCCATAAAACCTGGGTTTCTAGATCTAATCAAAGACTTAAATGGCAGCCATGTGCTTCAACATTGCTTGGAATCTTTTAAGGTGGAAGACAATAAGGTATTGGTTACTTGGCCCTAGAAAATTTTTCATGATTAATCACTCCAAACTTTATTCCTATCTATGTAATTAAGATAGCTAGCTGGCCATTAACCTTGCCATTTACTTTGACTTTGTTTATTCTATTTCTGAAAATTTTAAATGGTTTTCATAAAGTATTTGTCAAATGTCTTTTTTGTATTTCCAAATTCTTCTATCCTTTCAATATTTTTGTTAATCAATGTTCATCTTCATCCAATACTGTGTAAAAAATTCTTTTCGATGGTTGTCACTTGAAAGAACCTTCAAGCAGAGCAACTGGAGTGCATTGTTTAATTAACTGCTATGTACCCTTGTTGAATTCTTTATCATTTTCTCTTATTGTGAACATTGCAAATGTTGGTTTCTCATTTCTTGATCATTTGTTCTGTTCATATTGCTGTTAGTTTCCTTACAATCCTAATTGTTAATTGTTCTAATTGATGCAATTAGATACTATTACCTCTTAGCATTTGATATGTATGAAATTGTGGATTTAGGTGTATTTGGAACTCCTCTCATCAAAATTCTTGTCATTGGACGTGTCCTGTTTCTTTAGATACCTCTATCATTTATGCTTCAGATACATGTTTGTCTCCCATGTTAGTCTTGCTGAGGAGAATACAGGCTTCTATCTGTACATTTTTTAAATTTAAGTTCCACAGAAAAGGTAATAACATTGTTGGGCTTATGACCACCCTACATATGCAGGATTTCATAGTACTTGAGGCAGCAGTATTGTATTGGATTTCATAGTACTTTGATTCCAGGATATCTATATTTACATCAAAGATAAATTGTATCGATAAGACATTTATGTGTGATTATCTGAAGCTGAAGGTTACATCATATGCATTTTAGGTTCATTCTTAGTATTTGGTATGCCACATTCTAAGCTATATATGATCTGACCTTGTATACAAACATTTGGTTTTCCCCAATTAAATTTCATTTAATAAGAGCTGGATATTGTCTTTTTTACTAGTGAAAATTTGATTGCATCCTATTTTGTAAACCTGGCTGTTACTTTCTTTGTCAACTCTTAGCGACCACATTATTGGTACTGATTTGGTGTAACATTACACAGATAAATTCTTATTGTTGATTATATACTGAGATCAATGTATACCACAAACATGAGCTTGTTATATGCAATATAACAAGAGAAATGATACATGTATGAAAACAACAGAGTAGCAAACTATTGGTCAATCTTGATTTTTTTTTTTAAATTTTGCTTATTACAGTTGAAAATTTTCTGTGGTTGGCTTGTACTTGTATTTTCCCCGTGGGAATATGAGCTGTGAGAAAGTGACAATATTCTTGGTTCATATCAATCTAAAAGTCCTGCAGTGACAAAGGCAATCATATATAGTGTTCCCAATGAGTGATTCCAAAAAGATATCGTTTTTGGGTGGTGGACTGTGAGTATGGAAGGGAAAGTATTGCTGAAACCAGTAGTGGAATACCTTCAACTTTTTGTTTGTCTAAACAGAATTACTTGCCTAATCATTCTGAGATTTAAGAATTTGAAAATGGTCAATGAGAAGCAGAACAAGAAGCAAGCATCATTTCTCAGTTGGCAGATTGTTGATATAGCAAGCATTAGCTGTTCTTTTCAAGAAGTGAATGCATCTTATTCTGTTTATGCATGAATTAGACTAACTGTATGTCATTCTAAGTGTTTGTCTGCCTTTATACAGGTGTCTGACTATATGCACAGTGGAATGGTCAGAAAATACAAGCAATACTATAAGAATATTGTAAACTTCAATATAAAGTTATAGATAGAAGATGTTAGGAAGTTAATTAGGTTCTAACTTTTACTACTGGAGAACTAGTTAGTTGATGTAGGGCTCAATAGCTTAGGGTCTTATATATGAATGTAGGTATAAGTCGTTTTGAATTCAAGCCATTTTATGGTATATGATTGTTGTGGAATCTTCAAATGAACTATTATCATTCTTTTAGCAAGGTTCGTTTTATCGATTCTGGTATATCGATTGGTTGATCGTATAGTACATAACTTAAATTTTTTTCTATTCTTAAAAAATAGAAAAAAATTTAAGTTAGAAATAAATAAAAATTTAGTATAATTGTAACAAAATAATCTAAATTAGGAAAGAATAGTAGTATATATTTTTTTTGGGATTTGAGGAGTAGTTTTGTGATACTTTTTAGATCGTTCTTTCGTTGATATTGAATTGTATATAAAGAATTGATTTAAATTGTTAAATTATTTGTTAAATAATTTAAACTTTAAGATTCAAATGAATTAAGTAATTGATCGATGGATATACTTGGTTTTACCACTAAGAAGAATGACGGGATTCCACAGGTAGTGGATTGGGTTCCTCGATCCTATATATTGTGTATATTAATTTGATATGTTTGTCGGACCTAATCTTGAAATTGATCTCAGGACATAGTATATTAATACACTATATGCCATTGGTGCATCAATGTGGTGATCCACACGTATCTGAGGCGGCTCTTGAGGCAAGTATAAATGTGACATGTATTAGGGTGGAGCATAAATAATGTCTTCACTTCTACTTTTGTTATTGATCTACTGCTCCATATTATAAGATTGATAACCATATTGTTGCTCAGAGAAGAGTGACCACCTATCACATTGAGTTTCATGATTTGAATCTTGAGTGACATGTGTAAAATATTGTTCCTCGGTTTATGCACCACTTTCAAATTCTGTATATGGGACCATCAACTCCCCAACATCATTGTCATTGTCGAACGAGGCATTGTTGTCCACGTCGTTGCTATGTCTCTAGACCAAGTAGGTTGCTGAATGCGTTGAGAAGTTGTCTACATACCTTTGATTAGAGAGTTCTTTCTCTAATTTAGGTGTTAATGCCCCTTAATTAGTCCCCCAAACTTGAGCCAATCTACAATTCGTAATTTTGTGGAGTTCAAGAGAGTGTAAACGAGAGAAATATATGAGTGAAAAAGTGATTGAGAGAGTAGATGAATTGAAGAGTGTGAAAGAGGAGAAAATGAGGGGGTAGAAAGGGTTAAAAAACCCTTAGATTAGGTTCAAACAGGCAAATGGATCGTTTAAATTCAACAAATCCTAGTCATTGATCGGTATTAATCGAAATTTGATCGTTAATGGTTGGATTTTGATCGTTCTAGTTGGTATACATCTTGTTTCAGGTGATACAGGGTCCCTTATTATGGATTGCTCGGTACAATATATTCTGCATGTCGGTCCCCTATCGGATCGGTATGTATCGTATGTACTGCCCAATATAAGTTGGCATGACGAACCATGCTTTTTAGTGGTTGTTTGGGATATTTACAGAATTATATATCTGAGTTATTTTGATGTAGGAAGTTTTACTTTTTTTATATTTTGGTTTTGAGAAGTTGTTGGTTTTCAGTTATAAGAGTTCTGATAGTCTTCTTTGGTTTATTTTGTGAAATCATGTTTTTTTTAATAATTGGAGTTTTGTCCAGAAGTTACTCCTAGCTTTATTTAGGATTTGGTAAACTTGCTTTAACAAGGATATAAATAAAGGGCCATACAATTAACTGGTAGTTGGTATTATTTGTCAAATTAAAGTTGAAATTTCTGACTTTCAGTTGGCTGGTACCTTGATTGGTATCTGCTTTTATTTATCTCTTTTGATCTGTTTATTCTCTCATGGTTGTCATTATCACCTTATAAAATTAGCATAAGCAATAAACTCATAATTTCTTCTGCTTCTAGATTTTCTTTCTTTGTTTACTTGGTTTTATTTATTCTTGTGTGATTTACTAATTTCAACTGTCATATTATGTGGCAGTTCATTTTCAATGCTGCTGCAAAGCATTGTGTTGATATAGCAACACATCGACATGGCTGCTGTGTATTGCAAAAATGTATAGCTTATTCAACTGGAGAGGATCAGGCAAAGTTGGTTTCAGAAATTTCTGCTAATGGCTATGAACTTGCTCGAGATCCTTTTGGGTAAATATTTTGCCCTGAAACCTTACCGTCCAATTTTAATTGAAATATGTAAAACACATGTGAAACTATAACCATAACTTGCTTTTTTGAAATTGTACAGTAACTTTTCATCTCTGTTTGATCATCTCTTTCTCCATGAGCCACAAAGTACTGTGATGAATCCAGTTTTTCAGCATATATTTTGGGGCTCTATTTGATACCTGTCTGGCTATCTGATATTATTTTATATAATGGATCAGCTGTTTAAAGCAGTCTGCAGTTCGTAACATAATTCATAACTGTTTTAAGTTATACAAGCGTATACTCAAGTCCTTGAGGCAATTTATAAAGTGGTTATATGCTTTCATTAGACTCGTCATTGTTTATCTGATCGCTGATCTTGGATGATTATTTTGTTGCCACAAAGTATAGATAACTTGTTTTTTTGGGTGCATTGTGGAGTAAGTTATTCTCAATAGTGACCATTTGTCAACTAACATCCCTATGATCATCAATGGTGTTCTCTTGAGAAAGCCTGCAAATTCATAAATTTTCATCTGGACTTTTGCATGTAGCTCTTAGTGTACTGAACCTTATGTTGAATCTTACTCACATTAACCCATCCACTTTTACATGCCGAAAAGAGTTCTTGGGAACTATTGAGATAAAGGGCAAATAGAAATAGAACATATTGCTTTTTCTATCCAAGTTCTTCTAAGATATCCACTATCCAATGGAAAGAATGATTGGCAGTAGTGGTTATCCATCTGATTGACTTTTTCAGCTGGACCATTTACTGGGTTATGCTTTTTCACCATAAATTGTTGAAGTCTATAGCATTACGTATTTGATTGTTGTTGTATTTAATGAACTGGAAACTAGTGCCTTTTAACCTTGACAATATTATATGCTGGTAAGAAAAAACAGAGATGTTAATATTATTTGCATTTTAGTTAGGTTGAGTAGTATGGTATTTAAACATTAATTTTTGAAAATTGAGGTATATTAGTATGTGATTTGTTTTATTTTCACTGAAACAGAAGTCCCAATGGCATCTAATTCTTTTGAACGTGTTCTGCATAGGAATTCTGTAATTATGCTGCCTAGACAGTCAACTTGGTTGTGGTATTCTAGGGCATAGAATGGAGCTGTTCCTGGATTTCAAGTTTTTTTGGTGATCTAAATGATTTATGGAATATTCTTCTTCAACACTCATTTCAAGTAACAGTCCAAAATTACTTTTAGTCTGTTGAATCTATTGCTTATATTTTCTGTATCGATCGGTTCCTTAAATTATTCTTAGTTTTTGTCTTCTTCACTCTTCATTTACATAAATTAGGTTGGTTTATATTATTAAGCTCCATCATTGCTATTGCATTATCAAACTTATGAGGTCTCTATTTTGTTCCAGAAATTATGTCGTCCAGTATATTCTAGACCTTAAAAACCCTTTAGCGACTGCAAATCTGGTATCTCAATTCGAAGGGAAGTATGTGCAGCTCTCTGTACAGAAATTTAGCAGTAATGTGGTGGAAAAATGTTTGAAAACTTTTGGCGAAGATGATCGAGCCACTATAATAATCGAATTGCTTTCAGTATCCCATTTTGATCAATTACTGCAAGACCCTTATGCAAACTATGTCATCCGATCTGCCATTGAAAATTCCAAGGTTTCAATATCTAACTAATCTAGCAATAATATACCAGTACTTCGTCTCCTAATTCTCTTACCGATGCAGGGCTCTCTCTACACAGCGCTACAAAAGGCCAGCCTTCCTCATGAAGCAGCCCTCCGAACCAACCCATACTGCAAGCGAATCTTTTCTCGATTACGAATGAAGAAGTGATGTAAAATCTGGAAGCTGAGTGTCTGTTGTTGTTGCCAGTAGAAACAGTTGTCTTGGAGTTCAAACTGTAAGAGTGGAGGAGGTTCTTATTTACCAAGTTGTAAGAGTTTTGTACAAATAAGCAATTTTGCTCCCAATTGCTTGACTATATATCTGCTAGAATATTCTGCCGTTATGAGATTGTCTAGAGCTGGTGATTGTATAGTGTAAAGAGAACATCCTTTTGGCCCTCCTCTTGCTGAAACTAACGGAAGGTGTCAAGTGTTTTAACCTTTCTTACAAAGGTTAACAGGTTTTTATTTGTATTGCAAGTTTTCTGCATGTTATTTGTTTTTGTGCTAGAATTTATAGTGAGTTTACACTATTATGTATATATAATTACCTATTCATGTTAGTTTTTGTTGCAGAATGTTGATTTGAGAAGCTATTTGTAGCTTTGGCTTATCGAAGAACTCTCAGCTTAATGCCTCGATGACTTGCGAATCCACTCTTTCTTCATAGTTGATTACTAAGACTACGAGACGTCAAAGGTCAACATACCGTATATCTCAATTTGTTGATGGTCATATCAGTGTGACTAAAGTGAAGTGTCACCACATTACATGATTTCATAGGAACCACAATTTGTGTTTCTGTGATCTTTCTTCCTTTCAAGATCACATATATATACCAATAATTTGCATGTGGACGAGACTTGGAAAAGGAACCACAATCGGTAACTCAAAGTGTAGAAGTAGGAAAGAAGTTGATGCATAATTCAGGTTCACAACTCAGCACACACCAAGCGATTTGTACCTGAGGATAATGGTGGTGTCTCACTAACACACACCAAGACCTTATTCATCACAACAACTAACTCAGGCATCATCATGTCCAATCAATGCAAGGAGGAAGTCCTCATAATCACCAGTGGTATCTTTTTTTACGGCGCGATAGAGTGTCACGCTGTTCCTCTTATGGTACAGCTCTTTTATCTGTTTCATGTCCACCTCAGCACGAGTTGTTATGACTCGAGTAAGAGACCCCTCATCAGTTCCCATCTTGTTAATGGCGAGTCGAATAACCTTCTCAAGATATCTTTCGGGGCATGTGATGCAGCGTATGATGGCCCTTAACACTGATAGGAACTCATTCTTTGGATCAGACTTCAAATCCTGAGAATGACCAGTAAAAACATAATGTAGAGTGTGAAGGTCATATAATTAGAGAATCAAAATATTTGCATATGCTGTATGACTAATGAATGGAGATGGCAAAATATGGATATAGGAAGGGAACCACAAATACTTAGAATAGGTAGAAGAATGTCAAAATAAAATGTGAAGTGACATGATAGTCAAAATTAACTTGTAGCAAAGAATTGTTTGTATATAGCTATAGGCGAGTCAAATTGACAGATTCCGTTGAAACAGTGAGTGTTGATTGGATGACCAAACTGATAAGTGGTACATACCTTATTAATTGGATTACCAAACTGATTCTTGTAGTCATTGAATGTTGCAAGCAGTTGTGCTTTGCTCCTTGTTGTGAGGATCCTAATAACTTCTTCATGGTTGTAATCCTTACCCTTAATCTTCTCATGCAGCATCTTAGCCTCTGATTTCGCCAAGGATGCGTTCACTTCAGATCCCTCATAACGATATGAACTTACAAGTGGAACAAGCAGCTACAAAACATGTAACTTACCAAGTAAGTTTAAGAAGTGCAACAATTGAAGAACTCTAAACCTTCTCACAAAAAATTAAACAAGCATCCAATATAATGCAAGATCATGTACATCAATATGTCATCAATTTGGATGAAAAACATATGCAACTAACTACTAGGTGGACCCATGTAGCCAACCTGAAATAGCAGTCATCATTATACAGATAATTGTCATGAATTATAATGTAAATAGTTGATCCTAAATAGTCTTGCTTCGAGAGAGATCTTTTGTTGACATTTGGTTTCTAAGACTTACATTCATAATAGGTATTGATACATATGGTCAGACTCCAAATTTATCTATGAAGTTCTGT